CCCCCCTCAAAAGTCAAATGGTCCGCCCCTAAACAGTTCTTTATGCATAAAATTTACTTATGTCAATCATTAATTATGTACTCGTGGGAACCAACAGAGCGCTAAGGCATTCAAATTCTAACAATCAAATTGTTATTGGTGATTTCAATAGTTTTCGGGGTTTTTTGGACACCCTGTACATCGGTATACTCCGCACACGATTGAACTGTAGCGACCATGTTGCCAAATAAATACAAGCACGTGATCACAGCATGAAATCTGATTGGTTATACTTAAAATTCCACCGATAAAAATCGTATAATATCAAAACGTTTTGATGTTGTCCGATTAAAATCGAGCAACAAAAATGGGTTAAAAATGACACCGCGCACACACAACGATTTTGTTAGTTTTAGTCAGACGATGTTTATCGGCAGACTAAAATCGTATCGTGTGCGCCAGGCTTTACATCGGAAAATTTCGCCTAGTGGAAAACCGCCTTAAGGGGAACGTATCGCATCGTGTGGCGAGGCTTTACATTAACTTTAACTTTGATTTTCTCGGCTTAGACAACGTTTATTTTTAAAATTACTTCGCCAATGAACTCATTAAGTGAGTCGTTTTTTAAGTACTTGTATGTCCGATACAACACGGCCGCTCATGTTGTAAATAGTTCGTATAGCCTTTCCTATTTAAATCAAGCATGACGCCGTATTCTATTGAATTCATCTGACAAGCTTATACTGCTTGGAACAAGTTAACGAGCCGTAGAACAAAAGAATAACTTAATGAAATACCCTGTACAGTACAAGCAGCATTAAAATGAAGTTTTAATTATCTCTTTTGTAAATAAGGTCTGTTTTTGTCGCGTATCATCAACTCAAAGCAGTTGAGAACAATCAAATCACTTATAATTATCGCTAATTTAATAGGCTACTACAAAAAGGCTAGTCTTTGAAATTCAAATTAGTCAAATTAGTCATATTGTATTGAATTTATAATTACACTGCTAATCAATTAGCGAGCCGTAAAACAAAAGATTTTCTACTTATGGGACATGTACGGACAACTCAATGAAATACCCTGTACAGGGTGTCTCAAAAAAAAACAAAATCATTGAAATAACGTATTGTTCGAATTTCAATGCCGTAACACAAAGGATTTTGACAGGGTGATTAATTTGTTTTAAAAAATTAAAATATCTTTGTAAAGTGAACGTTTGTTTGCTCATGGGAATTTAAAAATGCTTCGTAAATTGTAATATGCGTAATATGCATTCGTGGGTTTAGCACTTTATGCCTGACATAACAAGTTTACGCTGAGTATTACCATTCATTATAGCAGTTATGTCAATCTTTTATGCACTCGTGGGATTAACTTAGTGCTAGGGCATTGAATATCGAACAATACGTCAATTTCAATGATTTTGGGTTTTTTTGAGACACCCTGTACAGTACAAGCAGCATTAAAATGAAGTTATAATTGATCTATTTTGCAAATAAGACATGTTTTCGTCGCGTATCTACTCTACGCAGACGCAGTTTAAAACAATGAGATCACTCTAACTATGACTAAAGACTTTCAAAGACTAGCCATTTTTTGATACACATTGTATACTCTTTTTTATACACACTGTAAATATATAATTACCTATTCTTCTCAGTTGTCTTGGGGTTAGCGCTGAAAAAAAATATATCAGGTAAGTCTACAAATAAACAAGCAAACTATGAAATAGAAAGATCATAACTAAAAGCAAAAACAAAGCACCACAGCAGAAATATCGATCTATCTTGTGAAAGAGTTTGGAAGTTCGAAAAAGCAAAATTATTAAAACATTGGACAAACAAAGATATGTAATCTTTGTAAAACTGACTGTATTCAAGAAGTCCACAGAAGGGATGTCACACGCTGGATAATTTGTTGCCGTATTTGCATAAGATTACTCAAAGTCAATAGGCTCGTCTAGTCTGAAATGAGTTTTAGTCCTGCAAAAGTATATTTTTCTTGAAATATTGTTGTGATCAAGAGCATTAAAAATCAAGGACTGTCTATATAATTTCTTCGCTTTTATTACGGTTCATAGTTGATGATCATGGTTGTATTTAGTACACAGTTTGCCTCGCCTTCCAGATATACAATGCAGGATGTCGTGCATCATAAACTTAGCTAAACGATTCAATTTTTACACAGCACATGTTATTTAGCTTTTCTATGATACCTTTCTTGCGGCAAGGTATTTGTTTCGTATAACGTTTTGATTACGAATGTTCTCTGTTCAGTGGTTAGTTAGAACCATGTTTAATGCAATAATGGACGTTCTGACAAAGATTGAAAAGTTTAGCTCATATTAGATAATTTAAACTTCGACTTTAATTTCCTCTTGCCAGTCTTGGGAATTGCCTGTGTTTCGTTTTCCATGCAATTCCCAACGGTGGAAGAATGTGACTTCGACCGGCAATTTTTATTTGACGATTATGTGGCCACTTCTCATCGTTACGATTTAAAAAGAGTATCATTGAAAAGCTAAATAACTTTTCTTTCGTCCAATGTAAAAATTGAATTGTTTAGCCACGTTTATGATGCACGAAAGCCTGTTTAATTTCCACTGCGTTTTTTTAGACACATTATATACACACAATATAAACAACATGAGTCATGATGGTTGTACTGTGTATATCTTGCAGGGTGTTAGTAAACAGCGTACAGTATAACTGCGTGTTAATACAAGCTTATTGCGAAACATCGTAACGGCGTCAAATTCTTGATTTTGAAAGCTATGCTCTCACGTTTTCAATTGTAACGCCTTATAATACGGATAGAGATCAACTTCCTCAGATACAGCTCTGGATGAAAACAGTAAGAAACGAATACAATGTAGAATAAAACAAACTTGGAGACGATTTGATAAGTTTTGAAATAAAAACAACATCCATTATTAGACACACAAGCTAAAACGATGCCCAGGGTTAGCGATATAGTTATTCTTAATGGAATATTTGTCTACGCTATCACAATGTATATATGGCATTTGTACGAACAAGAAAGAAAGCCTTTTGCTGATTTTCACAGCAAACCAGGACAACATATATTAGCTTAGAAAACATTGCACGTAATGTTTACAACATGAACGGCCGTGTTGTATCGGATATACAAACTCGAGCCGAAGGCGAGAGTTTGTATATCCGATACAACACGGACGCGAATAAGTTCATTGGCGAAGTAATTTTAAAAATAAACGTTGTCTAAGCCGAGAAAATCAAAGTTAAAGTTTATGTAAATCAACATGAATCTCCATCACATATACAGATACGACACGCTTATGATTTTTCTTTGTGTTTTCTTCATGAATTATTAATGAGTTTTTTAAAATTAATTATAAGATTATTTTGAACTTTGTCAAACTGTACGGGAATTGTAGAATAAAATATATGAAAGTCTGCTATCTACTAATAAAATAATTTATTACTTACGTTCCCCGTGCAACCTTCTCCTATGTGCCAGGAGCACATCGCTCCTGGCATAAAATCGCCCACAAATAGAGCACTCGTATTGTATGCCTCTGTGTGCGTCTAAGTGCCGATTTAAGTTCCTCCTTGAGGAGTAGGTGCGGGCACACAGCCCGCACCTAAACCTGCCACGCATGAGGTCATTCATTATTTGAAAGTAGGGTCACAAAATAAATAATAAGACCAGAAGTCTCACTCGATGTCGGAATCTTTGATGTTGATGTCCCCGCGCATGTCGGCTCGCGCATCTTGGCCGCGTCTCGTTTCCAGTGCCCTAAACAAGTGTAATTTGACAAATTTACATATAAACATTAAGGAGTGAGGAAGTTAAAACGATACCAATCGAGTTTTAGAGCTTTGGTGACCATTTTAAAAGAATATATGATAAATTCAAAGGTAAGTCTATCGTATTACATTGTCTTAAATGAATTCTCAGCTAAAATACGGCAATAAATGGATCATAAATTTAGTTAAATTCACTGTTGACAACGAGGTTGACAGATCCAATGATTTTTTTCCTTGAATAGCTTTACCATAGTCATTTTACCTTAAAATGTGGCTACCGAGGATATCTCTAAAAGATTTTACACAGATTATTTGCACAATCTCACGATTTAATCATGCTGATAACATGAAAATCCTTGTGCCATTGTATACTTGGCATATTAATCTCCACATCAATAGTTCACCAGTTCAACACTTATAAGTTATAAATTCAATATATTTTTGAACCAGTCCATATATTATTATACACAATGTAGTATAGTTAATTTGACCATTGAGAAGTAAGGGTGTATTACATTACACAGACACTGCTGAATTTTAGGTTACATGCCATTGGATTGATATATAAAAACATTTGTAAAAACACACATTATCTTGTTGATAGAATAGTTATTTGCAGTATACTAACTGTTGGCATACTCTATTTCAGGCCTATCAGTCTATCAATTGTTTTTGTCACTGGCAATCTTTGAAATACAATCTTGCTCTGTGGCCTTTACTGACAAGTTGGCTTTTACTACATATGTGGCACTGACACTTCTTTAATTAATGCACCAGTCAATGTAAACCCCCCAACCGGGGAGGGGCAGGGATTTTGACTTGGAGGGGTAGTAAAAGAGCAAAATTGTCCCGCCCCCAGGGACATCAATGTCCCCTGCATGTCTCTCAACCGCGGGAAAATAGTTTTGTATAATCATAGATCAGCAATAGAAAATCAAATTCATTTAATATGTTGTTGTATTTAAACTTTTCTTGTCAAGAAAACTAAAACAGCAACACAGGATATATATATTAACCACCGTCCAAGTCTCCCATCATCGGGGCAAATTTATAATCAAAACAGACCACTTTCCCCACTAAACCTCCCGCCCCTCCCCGGTTGGGGGCAGGGATTTACATTGACTGGTGCATAACTAGATGATTGCATGAAAGTTGATTTACGTATAATTAGTTTATGAATAAACTCGCACTTTCATTGTAGAGGTTAAGATTTGAGTTCTACTAGCACTATCTCTGACTGCCTTAAGCCGCGTTCACACCAGCGGCCCAGGCCTGGCCTTGACCTGGCCTGGGCCAATTGTGTCGCATTCACACTGGCTTGACGCCCAACTCCAGGCCAAAGCAATCAGGCGTCAATATAAACGTCCTTGTGTTCCACTAAAGTATTTAATTTTGCGCTTTGAATGTTTTTCCCTCCAATTGTATGACAATCATCTGACCAGTTTTTATTGTGGGCAGATATTGCGATGGTAACGGGGCCTCGCCCAGGCCAGGCACAGGAAAAACCTGTTCACACCAGTGATGATCAAGGCCAGGCCAGGTCCAGGCCACCTACATTTGCTGGCCTGGATTTCTTGACTTAGGCCAGGCTCAGGCCAGGTAAAACCCGTTCACACCTAGACCCAGGCTAGGTCCAGGCCAGGCCTGGGCCGCTAGTGTGAACGCGGCTTTAGTATGCATCTGATTGGTTATAATGGTTGATCGAATATATCAAATGCATTTGATGGTCCCTTAATGGTAATGGTAGTCAAATATGAACCTCTATAATGTCAATGAAGAATGCATACTGGAAAAGTATCAAATTAAATTTTAATTGTCAATGTTGTGGAAAGTAAATAAATCAAACAATTCTGTTTGTTTCAACTAACTAGTTCACTATCACTTTGGTTTTCAAATCAAAGAATCTTTAGCCTAGTTGAGCTTTTGAAAAAGTAGCTACTTTAGTGAACGCAAGATTATTTTACTCTGTCTAACACCAGACAATTTCACTTGTCAAGGGGAAAGTGCTGCCATTCAGTGAACTCAATCAGAGCTCAATGAGCAGCAGCACTCTCCCTCGATAAGTAAAATCATCTGGCATTAGATGAAGTGAAATAAACTAGTAAAGTAGGGTGCATTGGGGCACAATGCAGCTTACTGGGTTAACTGGAAAATATATTTATTTAAACAATACAGTAATACACACCCTATACTTGTATTTCAATTCATAGCATGATTTGGTATGCTTATGTCTATTTGACCCAAGTACCAGACAGGAATGATATTTGAATCACACCTGTATTCATTGAACAAAGCTAATTTAAATGTACATT